TCTCTAGGGCTCTTCTGCATTTGGTAGAAGACCCACACCTTGGTGCCGGCCTTCAGGTCACCAATGTTCGATTTGGGACTCTGCTGCTGTTGGTGATGGTGATGATGATGTGGAAAAGGAGTGGTATGCCCTTCTGAGCTCATTATGATATCTACACTACTGATCGCTAGCAATACCCCAGCTCACTCAAACGCAATAATAGTAGCATAACCTCTACAGAAACATCGTAGGTAACTACCTGTTCATCCCACATCTCTGATGAACCAACCCGTCCTATCCCCTCGTACGAGTGAACTATTCCTAATCTCAATGCTCTCAATATCCAAAATTATTTGTAATATCGAACGCAGTGCTGCTTGCTTCACGGAGTTGTTCAGTGTGTGAGCATATATACATGGTCTACTACATGTGTTGGTGACGATATGAAAATTCTCTGACGCTTTTAAAAAGCTGAGATCAGCAAAGTACCATCGGAGAAAGCATTCATGCGACCCCACAAGCGAACGAACACATAATTCCAGTGTTGGAATATATATTCGCTCTCTTCAAGAGAGCTCGGTAATTTTCTCACTTGATATGGAAGTTTACATATGAATTCGGGTAGAAGTGTGCAGAAAATAACAAGAATTTCCCAAAATTTTCTCTGAATTTTCATATTGTCACCAACACATGTAGTAGACCATGTAATTTATCTATCTCCTACACCAAGCACCTCCAACACTTTCCCAGTACAGCGTTCAATATTAGCGATATCAGAAGGACTACACCCCTTCTGCAGCTCTACCACAGTCTTACAGACGAATCACTAAATGACAGAAGCCCAGACCCGATACGATTTGCTGGAAGAACAGTCTTGACTCGTCCTGGGTTAATCGCATACGACGAACGATACAATCAAAAAGCTCGCCTCCTAGAACAACATAGTACGTGTCCCGTAATAGATCATATTCCTCTTCTACCAGAGACGCCTTCCATAATCATCAAGATCTCTGAAGGGGTGTCGATGAAATCATACATTCTAATGACGTGTGGATGGGCCATCGACTGCATAATATTGACCTCACACAAGGGCTTGCCGGGCATTTACATTCAATGCATATTTTGCTTGTTGGTTACTTTCACAGCAACCAAAGTGTCCACAACAATTCCAACCACTACTACTGCCTCGTCAGCTCTCCAATATCGTTCGTCTACAAACCCACTCAACGTTCACAATACGAATTCGTTGTTCACCGTTGAATATTAGTGTTGACTTCTAGCCTGCCAGTACCACCTTTTCCTTAGTAACCACCTGTTCAGCCAACTTCACCTTCCCAAAGGTGCCGACCCCAAGCGTGTTAAGTACGAAATAGTCCCCAACCCTGCATGCCCCCACTTGCCGCTGATGGGCACCCCCCTCATGATGATGATGGTGTTACCCTGTCACATACCGTGTATCCATTGCTGGAGATGATGACGACGTGGTTGACTGACTGTCCGGTCATGAGATCAGTAGAGAATGAGTGAGCTCGTGCAAGGGCGCGCGCGGTTTGCAAATAATTGCGATAATTTCTCAAAACCAAGTTTATTCGAATCTAGAAGGCCTGAAAACTCGAACGCACTGCGGACACAACCACACAAACAAAATCGAGAGTGCGACACCTTATGTCGTAGGCGAGCGAAGGAGACCGTTACAGTACTGCACATGCACGATCGAGAGAAACATCTAGGAGGCTTGTCGTAGCCTGTCCTACAGGCCTGTTGTGAGTAGCTCTTCGTATATGTATACGTTGTGGCCCGCTGACAACACCGTTGTTTGCGGTGGGTTTCAATGAGACACCAAGCGAACAGTTCTGCCTGCAAGCGTCAACGGTCGCCACGAACACCAGACGAGTCTGGCTAACTAATCCCCTATTATGCGTTGGAAATCTGCCAGCTGGAAACTCACGCCCGACTCTCTCCATTTTGGATAACTCGGCTACTATCAACTCAACGGTTGCAACTCTTCAACTGGAGACACAGGGCAAAAAGGTATTCAAACAACTAGTAGAAATTGGAGAATGGAACGCGATTGACATAACGCTAACTCTGAGGGTCCGCATAGACACGCAACAGTCCTGGCACGACGTATGCTGTGATCTTACCTACCACGACAAAGTGAGCTTTGGTTGAGTTCACAGTTGATCTACCCTTTGGGATGACCTCCCCATCTGTACAAAAACCAACACCTCTGTTGAGGACACCCTCATCAACAGGCTCAATCTTCCATGCCACCACACACTTCTCGGCCCACGATGGTGCCAACACTGTCTGAAATGACACCAACTGAATCCTGATCATCTCAGCAGCAGCAGCTCACCTCCTTCCCTTGGCTTATAGTTATCGAGCTTCGTGCGAACTTCACCAGGCCAAAGTCTTCCCGACGTGGACAACGCAATGCCCATTGTCCATCATTCAGTTCTTGATGAGGAGCTATCATAAGGTTGGGAGCACTATGGGACAGGTTGTTCAGCCAGACTCCGGCAAAACTAAAAGATACATCAACCAATAATATCAAACAATATACTAAAAGGATATTCATTGTAAAAGGTAATATTACTGGAGTTTTACCCGTTTAACGCGAGGTGGCATAATACTCCATGTAAATTTAAGACGTGTATGTTTCCGCGACCGATAACACCATCGTTTTCCACAGTGAAGTGTTGAATATGTTTTCCACTAGTGTTTATATACCATTATTAGTATCATTAATATAAAGTATAGTAGATTATAATAAATTTATATATAAAAGAATAAAAAGTAAACTGCGTATTGCTCGATAAAAAACATCAAGCCTTACTCCCCTTCCTCAGTAGTCCACAAAGGGCTGTCTTCTGGTGGTAGCCCATTGAGAGGCTCCTTAACATCTGAGCTGAGGACGTACGATACTTTCCCAACATAGTGACGGAGCCAAAGAACGCGCCACAATCCATATAATGTGAACCGTGCATCGCCAATGAGTCGAAATGCTTCGGATTCAACATCAACCTAAGCATGGTCTCGCATCGATACCCAAATCTCAACAATTCCACCCACATCAGAGAAAAATCCCCAAGTGGCATTGAGGAAACCAATAATGGTCTTGTTCTCAGCACTATCATCATCAACACCTGAAAAAGAACCACCACGAAATTTCATTCGTTTCACAGACAGTGGATAAATAGAGCCTACTGATCATAGCCGCATCTACTGATGTCGTCTTCCCCCTTAATATGAGACGCATAGCAGCATTGAAGTCACCAACAAAGCCAGCAATATCCCCAAAAAAGTCTTTTTCCGAGGAGTACACAGCGCTAGTGCTCAAACCATTACCACTGCCGCCAGGGAGCATGCCGAACCTCAAGTGTTTAATGAGGTATTGCCCGTCAGGCAGGTGATATATGCCCTGAACAAGTTGAACATCCTAGCTACAATTTCGTGGCGCGTGACGCTACTTGCAGTAATTCATGCATGACCCCATCGCCACCACACGTAATAAAGGCATCATATTTATCAGCATTGTCCATTCCCAGATGCCGAACATGTTGAGTACTCACAGTCTTCACAGTTTCAACCGCGAATCGAT